AGTTGCTAGCTCCCGGATGGGTGACCACCCGGGATTTTTAGCAACATATCCTTGCCACACATACACAAACACATGTTACAACCCTACCCAATTAAAAAAACCTACAAACAAACATACAAAAATAATCCCTACCGTACCACCCCACACCCAATGTAGCCGTGGGTTCTCCTTACAAAAAAAAAAAAAGTTTATTTATTATACACTTATTATATTAGCTTTTTATATTATAAACTTTTATTTTAAAAACTGGACCAAATTTTATATTATTATAATAATTATTTATTTTGAATTTCCCAATTATCGTTGTTATTAACATTTAGTGGTGAAGAAATTGAATTTGATGATTTTGTGATATTTTTATTAACGAGTTTAATTGAAGTGATTACATTCTTAAATTTTATTTTATGTTAATTTCTATTTCTAGGTGAAGACATGTATATTGTATATGAATTTAAATATTTATTAAAATTGCCTTATAACGGTACATAATATAAAAGCCAGATTTGGCCAATCGACCTTCGAATAAGTGACACGGCATCCGTCACGAGTTGGTCGTTAGGTTTATTTTGCAAATTAGAGACAAAATTATAACTATAAATATACGCAATTAGATAAGCGAAACTCGATGCGCGGCGCAGGTGTGCACTGAACGACGGCCAACGCAGAACTGTGTCACAAATGACAAATCTGAATAAGAAATATTATTGTATATAATATGTATAACAAACATTTTAAGTTTAGAAGCAACGTTTTCCTGCATTAGCCCCCGGAATACAAGTTATGGTGAAAAACACATTGCCCATAATAACAGCAACTGCTATTTTACATAACATAGTTAGAAGAATTGGCTAAGATGTTCCAATTGAAGTAGATCTACTTATTTCTTGGAAAGATATCTCGTGCAGCATAATATTCCTCTTTAAAAAGACCTTCCCTATCGACGGACCACATGTGACAACAAAGAACGGCAATGATTGGAATAAAAGTTAATTCTTGTTGAATCTGATCAAATTCTAAATATTCTTTTAAAACATCCAGTCACGGTAGACTTTGAAAAATATGAAAAAAAAATATTATTTAACTTGAGTGAAAAATGGGCAATATTTAATAAAAATTATATTGGGATGATGCCAATATGTACTTGGATTTATTGCATGAAAACATAAAATACTATTACCTAGAAACATTGTAAACGTTTGGATATGGTAGTTAATGGTCTAATGTCCATAACAAAAGTTTTGAAAGAGTAATAAAGATTTCAAAAACAAAAAATCATTAAAATAGCTAATAAACACAGCTCATTATAAAAGTAAACGAATATCTCAAGATATGATTGCAAAAGTAAATTATTACTGGTAAGTTATTTCTGAAAATTACATCAATGATCAGTACAAAGTTAAAAAGTCTTAATCATTTGATGATTGTGCTTGTGCTTTGCAATGTGAGGAGGAATGCCAGATTTGTGTGCATTCCTACAAATGTTCATGTATGAATAATATTATTTATTTAAATATTTGCAAGCATGTAAAATATACATGCATGGGTTAAAACATAATTAAAGATTCTGAATCAAAATTAAGAAAACATTATTCCATGGTCAAATTATTTGGTAGTTTATAATGGGTTCTTTCAAACAAATAAAAATATAAAATCATTAAAAAAGATTATGAGATAAAAAATAAAATGGAAATTATGTGTGGTATATATAATTATTTAAATTTAAATGAAAAGGATCAAAACTTACTCATAAAACAATGTGATAAAAAAATCCAAATCTTTTGGCCAAATATTTTCGGAGGAATTTAAAATTCAAAGCCTTTTTGAATTGAGTGTATTGGATATCTGCATAATTTATGCATTCAATTTATTTATTTTTATATGATTTTATACAGGTCATATTTTTTCTATTGTCTTATGGCTGTGTGTTTGTATTTTATACCTGTATATTTAGTAAGTGGGCCTCAATGTTTTTGTTTTACATAATTAGTAGGTAGTTCACACAACTATACAGTTTGGGAACCGCTGGTATAAACTATAAACCTTATATTACTTTACGAGCATGAGTTTATGGAAAGCATAATAATATAGAGGGCGCATTCGCTTAATAGTTTACTCAATATGAATGATAGATAATGTATTTGATAATTATTGGCTCTTTTTAAGCTGCCATTTTTCTTTTTATTGCAAAATATTTTATTAAGAAGGAGTTAGGTGTATGCAATAATCATGCATTTTACGCTTGGGAGTTCCACTATAATCATTCCAATATTAGTTAATTCGGATTCTACCAAAACTCACATAATAAATGAAAAAAAAAAATTCCCAAAAAGTCAATTTTGAGTCGCTATAATATGCAAATGTTTTAAATAACTTTACAATTGTCGCATGGTTTATTAATATTAAACAATAATATGAGAAGTATGATCGCCGCGCCGATCGGTAAGATCTGATTTTACCCAAATATTGCAAATATTGATCATAGAAATAATAATAATAACAATACAATTTTTTTTTAACGTTAATTGATATTTTAATCTCAGAAATACTTTTTTTTTTTTAATAGTGAATTTTAAATTTTTTCCACATAACTTATAAAATTAAGTTTAGACGTCTTTTTTAAAGTAGGTACAATCAAATTGAGCAAGTAACCTAACCTAACTTTTTGAAAAACCCATATTATATTATAAACCTTTAAAACATATATTTTAAAAAGGTTGGTACGACTGACATTAAACAGTATTGTTCATAAAGGTAACATCGCATCGTAATTTTTTGGTTTTTGCCGTATACTTTTAGACGGTACTTCCGGTTAAGACGTGGGTGTGGTAAGCCTGCAGTGAATAACCTGCTAAATTCCCTCCGAAACTGCATCCTCCCTCAGACTATCCATTAGTATAAACTCAACATAGTATATCACATGGTCTGATTGTCCTGCATTACACCTCAACTGTGGTTAACGATAAAAATGAATTTCTTCCGCAAGGTTTTTGGATGCAAGGAAAAAGATATAAAAAGGCCGTCACCTTCAACTGAAATAATTGATGCGTTGCAAAAATTACAATCTACTGAACAGTTATTAAGAGAAAAACGTGAAGTATTGGAAAAAAATATTAAAAAAGAGCAAGCTACGGTAAAAAAGAATGTCATAAAAAATAAGCAAGGTGACTAGTATACCTAGGTAATAATTTTTTGTTCAATTAACTTAATGTTTTTCAATTTTTTTTTTTAGTTGCATTGAATGCATTAAATCGTAAGAAATGTTATGAGCAGCAGTTATCCCGGAATGACAGTATGTTATCAACTGTTATAAAACAACAGTCATCCTTGGACATCGCAAACACGAAAGACATTGTGGTTGATGTATTGAGTTCAACTTCATCCGCTGTTAAAAAGGCTAAGCAAAATGTGTGAGTGAAATCCTCGTTATTATTTTGCTAATTATATTTATGTATGTTAGGCACCTAACCAAATTTCAGATTTACTTTCTGATAAGGTTTTGACTATATCAACTAGGTATAACAGCAAAATACTTGCTCATTTTATTTTAATTTTTATGCAATAAATATTACAAAATTCATAATATAAAAAATAGCAATAAAAAAAGCAATAAACATATTTTTTTAATTAATAGGTAAGGTACATACAGTTCATAATTTCTTTTTTTAATGTATAAAATAATTGAAAAATATTCTTGAAAATTTTTTGTTTATAATATCTTACTTTCAAACTCTTCATGATACTATTAGATTAATTATAATATAAGAAAATAAGAAAATGCCCGAAAAAAAATATTAAAGACATGTAAATTCTGATGCATCAATAATCTACTATGGAATATAATAATTTAGCACAGATTTGTTAGCCTGTATAAAGTTTTAACTGTTTATTTTATTATTCAATACTGCGGTCATTATAATTTTCTGTCATCTAACTATATTTAAAAATTTTAAACAGCTTACTTTTTTTATCTGTACAAATAAACAATGTATTTATTTAAATTTTATAATTAATGTGTATATGCACGTATACATTGATTAATTTAAAGTTTATGCAGAGATAGTTGAGGGGTAAATTTAATATTAAGACTATAGGTAGAATAAAAACTAAAAACTTAGTAACAATTTAATTAGGTATTTTAATACTTAAATAAAACATAAAAAACAAAAGGTCTGACTTGCTCTCAGAAAAATTATTCTTTTTCGTTTAATGTTTTCTATTTATTGAACACTACTTTGTTTGTGCATTTGTGCAGCTAACAGTAGGTACCTTAGAGTATCTACTGATAATTTTCTAGTAAAAGTATTAAATTGATCCATTTTATATTTAATTATGCCAAATTTCGTCACTCATCATGGTTGTAACTTATTAAAAGTAGCATTTGGTCGTTACATTTTATATGTTGCTATTATAGTATGGTAGGTAGTGATATTATAAAAGAATGTTATAATTTAAAAATGAATAAATAAGTGTTACATCCAGATTTGTTGATATAAGTCATAGGTACTAAAATTAAAAGTTAAATAACTAAAACATAGGTTAGTCATAGGACACATGCAGAAGTGAAAAATTGAAGAAATTGGGTCATGTTGTTTGTTATTACAACATATGACTCATTCTTACTCTAAAGCCGCACCAATATAGATGTGTTTCACATAAAAAATTGCTATTTACAATAAAATATAATCAGTGCAATTGATACATTTTATAAAAGTAACTATACAAAAACAAAGATAAAAAAAATAGGTACATGTAATATAGGTACCAAAAAAAAAAAAGCGTTTCAATAAATAATAGAACCCTACCTACAGAGGTTGTTAATTAGTTAATTTATTGAGATATCTACCACTTTATCTTTAAATGTCTAACTAAGTGATCTGCTAGGAAATCAATTTATTAGCCCTTACTCCTTAGTATTTCTTAATATAATTTCATTTACATATAGTTTTTAAATTAATGGTTATTCTAAAAATTAAAATAAATATTTAAGTAGCTTATTATATATATATATAAATTTCTTCTTACAGAAACATAGATGGTATTCATAATATGATTGATGATATAATAACTTCACAAGAATTTTCTCAAGAAATATCAGAAGCAATTTGTAATCCAACTAGATTAGAAACCGATGAAGATGAAGTAAGAAAAATTATTTTTGCTTGAAGTGCATACAATTATTTTGATAGCTCTGAATCTGAAACAAAAATATTATTTATCATATATTTGTTATATTCTCTGATGGATTTATCTGAAATTATTAATGCTAGTAATAATAATAATAATAATAATAATAATAATTTCCTTTTATAAAATGTATAATATATTTTAGAATTTTTACATCAAAAAGAAGAATCTTAAATTAAGTCTTCTACAGAAATAAGTGCTAATTTTGTTAGTAAATGCACAGTTGTATTTATTATCTGTTGTACTTAAATTTAAGACTTTGATAGATACTAGAGCTGAGCGTTGAATGTATTGGTTTTAAAATTATATGGTTCTTATGCTTGTATGTGTAATAAATAGCTGAAATAATGATTAAGTTTTCTATTTCTATATCTTTTTAGTTTGGAAAGTTAATCTATTGAAAAGTCCAATTTGAAAATTCTCCAAGAGTTTTCAATAGCGTCAGCCAACACAAAAAAAAAATTTTAAAATTATTGGTGATGGTTAATAACCATTATTATGGGGAATATAATGGAATATAATTTTGTAATATAGTTTTTATATACCATACAACTTTCAAAATATTTGAACTATTTCTGAACTATTTATTAACATTATGATTTTCAATTTTTTTTTTAGTTTTGTGTTTCTATAAAATAAATATTAATAATATGTTTTTGTTGGGTCAAAAACTTGAAAATTTAATGCATCTTTATTTAAATGCCATGTTCCTAATTTGTAAATGTATACTATGTAATGTTGTAATTATATTATATTCTATTGTAATTTAATATACCCCTCATTATGTTTATCTGCTTATTATATGTAGGTACAATACAGACTAAATTTGAAGTTTTTAAAATGTAGCTCTTGCAGGTAATACAGGTTCAATAAATAAATTGAATTATTATTTGTACAGGAAAAATTACAAAAGGAATTAGAAAATCTTAAATTAGCAAACGACGAACAAGTAATGAATATTGATCCACTGTTAACTACAAATTATCCAATGTTAGCTGTGCCCACATTTGTATCAAACGGACAAAAAAAAAGTATTATTATTATTGTATTATGTATTATTTATTTTAATTCAGCTTATTTTTTCAGAAAATATTACCAGACAAAAGAATTCCATGATGACATAAAATAGTTATTTTATAGATCTTCAAAATAATTTGTAATTAAGTATGTAAAAGATAATAGTTATTAGTCGGACATTTTGGCTTTAATTTAAACCTTTTTTGCTTGTAAACCTAGCTACAATACAAAATTAATTTTAGTTACTATATTAAGGAATACAGTCATAAAAATCTAAGCTAATGATATATTTTTATCTTATTAAAAAATGTGTTTCAACTAGTATTTTGTTCATAATATTACATAGATCAAAACTAATATAATTTTGTAATACCATAAAAGTATTTATATATATACAGAGTAGCATCAAGTGAGTATAAATATTTATATACTCATAATCAGATATCATTGCAGATGTGATAGATTCCAAAATAATAGTTTTAATTTGACAATTTTTTTTATGTKCACAATACATAGCATGTTTATGTTACACTGAATTAATGAAATTGCTGATTACATGAAATGGGCAGAAAAATTTCCGATTTCCTGAGGTCAGCACCACTGTGGCCAACAACATGAAATCGGTAAGACTATCCTGAAAAAATAGATAACACATAATTCAATGTAAATTAATGTGTTATATTTGTGATCTTACATAAAATACTGTAAATATAATAAAATCTAATTTAAATAATAAATAATGCGTACAAAAAATTAAAAGAAAAAATTGAAGGTCATGAAATTTTATTAATTTTTTTAGTTAAATATTTATATTTATAAATGTTGGCAACTACGGCCGTGGTGTCACGCCGAATAACACATCTCCTGCATGCACACTTCTAAAATGTGCAATTCATACGGCAGGTATCCTTGTCCGGTCCTAACTGACCCTAATCGAACTACTTCCCGTAAAGAATATTCATTTTTTGAATGTTGAACGTATGCAGTCATTAGGGAACAGTACTTTGTAGCAACCAAACTGTTATGCTCCAGCCATTTGCTCAGAATCCCTTCCTTCATCGTAATATAGGTACAATTTTCCATCTTTTTCTTCTATTATAACAGAAAGGTTTGCTGCATCTCCTCGCCCTTGATCCACCGACGGAATTGACTTAAAAAACATTGTCACCAACTTTTAAGGGAGGGAGAATGCCTTTGCCCCGGGTTATTGGTTACTTTACAARCACCCAGTATTGGTTTTTAATAGCTCAGCCATATTATGCGTACCCAATATTTGAAATAGAGACAATATTTGTCTATACAAATTATTTAATTATTTAATTCATAAAATTATTTCATCATGTTGTACGATATTACCATTGTTACAATTTGTATATTAAATGTTTAGCTTCCTAGTTTAGTAACCTACTTTTAAAATGCAATACACATTATATATAGGTACACTATATGTAATTATTTTATAATAATAATATTATATTTATTAGGTAACCTATTAAATACCTACTATTATAAAACATTACAAAATAACAAAGTATGATCACAACTTTGTGATACACGTCATACCTTTAGTATCAGAAACAAGAGTGGGAGTCTTCCTCAACTTTTCATTGGTGATATTATCCCGGTAAATTATGATAACATATTAGCCAATCAAACGACGAGGATTACTTCACCCTATTATGCTTAGACTGAATGAAATTCTGTTGATCATACCTTATTATTCCGTCATGTTATAGGTCAAAGATTATATCACRATATGCAGTAGCGTAACTAACAGCAAATATTTGGGGTAGCGAACACTTTTAAATACTTCACCTTCTCCAATAAGCATAATGAGTGATGAGTACCACTTATACGCATAATTTCCTCCTAAATTATTTTAAAATAATCATTATACTTATATAATATTATAATATTATACTTATCATTATAGTATTATACTATCATTATACAGTTTTATAACACGAAAATTCCGGTAAAACACGATTGCGTACGTACGATTTTTATCTGCAGCTTTGAAGCACTGTTGCCATTTGCTTTGAACTTATAGAACAGGGATTACTTCCATAATTTTTTTTTTTATTATTATTGAATAACTATTTTTTATTATATTATTTTAACATTTAATTATTTTATTTWRTGTACTATATTATTATAACATAGGTATTTATCGAAAATTGAGATTTTTAAGTGGTACCATAACTTAAGTCATTTTTCCAAAATTAAAATTTTACTGATCAAAATTAAAAACATAAATTTGGCAACGATGCACAGTAAATCGTACGCAATCGTATTAACGTACGCAATCGTGTTTTCAAAAAGAAACATCGTACGCAATCGTGTGGTACCGCGAAAATTCACAAATAACGTATTTTTTTCTTGATAACTATTTAAAGATAAATAAATAGTAAATACACACTGACGCGGATTTTTTTTACTAAATTATATAAATAAGTTTGGGGTAGCAAAATGATACTCTTGCGACCCCATAAAAATGTTTGGGGTCACGACCGCTATCTCTCGCTAGTCGCTACCCCATAGTTACGCCACTGACAATATGGTTAAGGACTTATGGTCTGTCCATACGTTCGCCGATGATTTATTAAACTGCAACTTAGGTACACTGACAGATTTGTCGCAGTCACGTGGATACAATTTTTCTTCAGTATGTGTTCGTTGATTTAAATGAAAAATCTTCTACAAAAATCTACGGATAAGTCAGAAATCTGGATAACGAAAATACAATAGTGCCGCCATCCATTCTGCAAAATAAAATTACACAGTTTAAAAGTTTCTCGTCGTCTTGACGTCTATACTCGTATATTTTTCGTTATGAAAATACGTTTATTCAACGTTGATCATAATTTATTCATTGTTAAGTCGAAATATCTTTAATGATTATAATATGTACCCATATCCTACATATTATAATTATATTTTACGTTACCATAATAATAGTGGCAATGTTCACTGTTCCACACCCCACAGTGCCACTGTACTACTTGTGGACGGCGCGGCGGTATATATAACGTGACCATACGTCCCGCTTTGGGCGGGACAGACCCGCTTTCGAGATAAGTGCCCCGCTGTCCGCAAATAACCTAAAAATGTCCCACTTTCAAAAAAGTCGATTTGTAGTAGGTATTTATTCATCACATATTACAATCATACTATTATACCGTACCTATACAGTTTACAGTATATGTATACCTACATATTTTACATATACTGTGAAACACTAACACCCATAGTCCATAGATTTTTGGGAATCTATTATGATTAATATGTTGTCTGCGTTTTTCTGCTGTTATTTTTTATAGAAACAATTATTAATGTTTTTTTTTTTCAAAAAATGTACGCAAAATTATATGATTTTCTGAATAAAATATACAAGTTTCCCGCTTTAAAGAAAAAAAAAATATTGGTATCTAACCAGTGCAGTTATAACTATAGGGCCCCCAAATTTATTAGTTTGCATATTTGGCACTGCCAACTCTTTACGCTTTATTCAACGATCTAAATATTCAGATGGACCAGATGAATAGTTATGTATTTATAGTGTCTGATCAAGGGGCCAAAGTGGAGCTCTCGAATGTATGTAGGCCCCGGGACCTACGAGAAATCAGTGCAATTGCACCACTTCGTACCCTACGTGGGCGCCACTGTAATCTACCATAGTAATATATGTATAATAATATGATATAATAATCTATGTATCATGCACATTAAATGTACAATCCCGATAACGCCTATATAGTCAATTATTATTATTATATATACGTGTATCTTCCAAAAATATCTTTAGCGATAACGTTCGATTCGCGGTCTGTGATATTTTTATCCCATTTACGTACATATCAACTTGAGCGATTTGGTCGGCCAAGGGACAAATCCGACAGATAACCCTTTCGTGTATGGCCTGCTATTAAGTTATAAATATATTAAACTTTCCGTGGCCGATTGCTTAGCTGCCAGGACTCCCCCACACCTTAGCAAGTCCCGTCGGCCTTCGATCGCATCCGTCTGTACCTACTCTGCGTACAGTCGTACACTGTGACTGTGGTCTGTTCGACATTACTGTAATACTGTGTGATGTTTTAATGTTTAACATTATATTATAATACTGCAGTAATATAGATACACCATCACGACATTGTCTATACATTAAAGGACTATACAACAAAAAAATCCAATTTTTTTTTATTGTGTGAAAATATAGTGCTTAAAAAAAGGGGGGTTCATAAAATTGATTACAGATAAGTCTATAGTAGGTTTATACTACAATAAAACAACTTACATATTTGATATTATTTTTTTATATAGTACATTATAAATTATAATGTTAAATGTTTAATGGATTGTATTAAGTAATAGATTACACGAATTACGCGTTTTGAAAACCAACATATAGGACATAGGTAATATAATGTTCTCCTCAGGATAACGTTCACGAATTTTTTTGACCACACATGATGGAATAACAACTCTATTCCCTATAGTATAAAACAAACACAATAAAGAATAAAATAACTGGAAATATGGTATAATGACAACAATTATCAAAGAAGCTGAAAAAGAAATTTTACCACGACAATTTGATGTATAAAGAGAATGTAATACCAACATCCCAAAAATGTTATCAAATTTATCTAACACTTCGCCTTCCTTATGAAGTTATGAAGAATTAAAATCAAAGGGATATTAAAGATTTACCTAAAAATATAATCTAATTAGCTAAATTAACTATTATTATATATTATAATAATTAAATTACGTATAATATATGTATATTTGTTTGGATTAATATATTTTACTGTGGGGTTTTTTTTACATGTTTATTTTAGTTCTTAAACAAAAAATATTACAATAACACATTTTTTTAACAGTTAATTAAATTTTATTATAATTATAATTATTAATTAGGTATTTTATTTTAATACATACAGTCAATGTATAATTTTATTTAATATAATTTGTTTGCTATTTTATAAATTTTATTTTTTTATCTTTCCTATAAACTACCCTGAAACAAATTTTAATACTGTGAAAATAATATGATCATCTAAAGAAATTTATAACCTTTTTATAAATGTACTTTAGTAAGTATATGCTGTTAAATGTTAATGATTTCTTAGTAAACTACATAGGTGATCCATTGGTGCACAAGCCACAAATAAACAAGAAATATTGTTATAAATGTGAGTATTTAATTTTTACTTTAGAGTGTCATAGCACTGTTATAATTAGTGACTAGTCAGGCACGGCGCTAGAATTTTTTTCCTGGTTAGGTTAGAGGTTAGAAGTGGAACAGATACTTTTTGTGAATAATATAGGCTAGGATTTTTTCAAACAGTACAGCTTCACTCTATGTTTACTCAGATAACTGATTTCAGCTTGACTATTTTTAGGGATGGCTAAATCACCCGCCCCCGTCATTAGCTCCTTTCCTGGTAATAGTTAAAAATATAATACATAAAATGATTATTATTTCTTTGTATTTTCTTAAATAGAAACGATTTATTTTTATATTTATTTTKTATAAAGGGCGATTTTGTTATCGAAGAACACTCATTATGCATAAAAAATTATTTTTTTAATAAAAACGTTTGTTTTTTAACAACTTGAAACTATGTAAAAAAATTTTTTGAAAAAGTCAATACTTTTTTAAATAATGAGTGTTCTTCGATAATAAAATCACCATGTATATACAAAATAAATATGCCTAAGTACTCTTTCAAGCCAAGCTGCAATTTATCCAAGGGTTGTAGAGTAAAAAGATTATAACTTCCTGGCATTGATGAATATACATTTCCTTCTCTGCATCTTACGAAAATGTACATCCTACAAAAAAAGAAACTGAAATGATAACTCTCCCTCTTATCGATAGTCAGACTATTGTTCCTATAGGTACCTATTGTTTCTTCAGAAAATCTCAAAATCAAAATGTTATTGAAACTGAAAATAGTTCTACTTCTAACAATATTTTATCTGATCCATTGGTTTTTCAATTAAAGCTAGCTTTTTTCATTATATTATCAAGACTTCCAAGAAGCAATGCAACCAAATTATTGAAATCGGTAGATAGCTTACAATGTCTTTAGTCTCTTGTTATTGATTCAAAAACATTATTATCTACCCATTGGTCTGGCCTAATTGTTGATATAACCAATATTGGAGGTGGTAAATATATTAATTTTGGAATATCCCATGGATTAACACATATCTTAAAAAATGTTGCATCTGTTCAGAATCTATATGTACTAGAACTGTGGTTTAATATTGATGGTCTTCCTTTAGACAAAAGAGGAAAATCTTTTTGGCTCATATTATGCTCTTTTTTATAGAGTATAGTCTGGACAGCTGTAAAATGTAGGATGAAAAAAAAATACAAGTCAACTAAAATTGTATTACGAGTGGCACAACCACTGATTATGTTGTATAGGTCGAGAACCAATGGCTAACGGGTAGGGAAGCTGCAACGGGTCACGGTACACAGGGGCCACTTTTCGTATCGCGGACTATAGTTATTTTTTCATTTAATTACCTATGATATTGATTATTAAGTGATTAAAATTTGAATGTATTTTTATTTATTTTTATACTTTTATTTTATTATTATTGTGTTTATTATGTTGTATTGTTGTGTAATATAATATAGGTGAGGCCGTAGATAGTAATTTTCTATGGAGAGAGATATTACATACCTCTTTCATACTGCCTCTTCAAAGAATTTCCTGGTAACCACATAGTAAAATTCATTCAATGATTGGAATTAATTTGTTTAGGGCCTAAAACGAGACGTAGCTACAGTCCTGAATATAGGCGTCAAGCGAAATACTGTTTTTGGGAGTGTGACATTAGCCTCAATGAGTCGGATACTACTTAGGTACCTACACTACGTTTTTATGTTCTGAGGGCTATGCTTATAACAGTGAAAGATATATTTGGTTATCTTCCCCAAGTAGAACTGAACGAAATGTTTCTTATGCTATTTGCGGGATCAATTAGTTCATTTTTTTAAATCCCTGTAGGTACAAGATATTGTTGAAATAAAAATGAAAATGTTCAAGATCGCTCAATTTCCTTTAGTATTCGGTGCAATTGATTGCATGTGAGAATACAATCACCAAGAGGTAAATTTTCGGAACCATTTAGAAATCGTTAAAGGTAAAAAAAAAAAAATTWAATACAGTATATATTATACACAAATCACACATAAACGAAAAATTATAGGTACCTACGACATAATATTATACATCTGGAGATGGACTGTGACTATAAAAATCGGATCTGAGATTAATAATGAATATAAATGTATAGATTTTACAATAATTAAGTTTTTTTTATATATTTTATGTCTTTAGGAGCAGTAAAGATGCTTTAATATTCGGCATAGGGGTTTCTGATGTCAAATTGTATCTAATTGTCAGAAAAGAAATAATTAAAAATAGTTAATAATTTTCAAAATAATAATTACAAAATTAAAAACAGTAGCTAAAGACCAAGGGGTATGTGGTATAGTGTTAAAATAGTTTAGTCATTTCTAAGCTATTCATAAGCATTTCAAATATTAATTTATTATTTTTATTTTAGATATTTTTTGTTTKATAGGTACAAGTAAAAACAGTTTAATAAAAAATGTATTACCTAGTAATATAAAGTATAGAATATAAAGTACGATATCTCCTTAAAAATTAAGACTGGCATATTTTTKTACAGAATCTTTTTTCGTATGAGATTATTTATCATTAAATTCAAATAATTAAACATAAAATAATCAATTTAATTGATCATGTTTAATTATTAATTGTTACAACACCTAATTTTTATGAATCAATTAAAAGCATTGTATTGTACTGTTATCTAACTACTAGTTAGGTAGCAATAATAGAAACACCTGAAACCCTGTAATAATGGTCTAGTTTATACTAGACTCGCTACACTAAACCATCCACTACCTTAACTTTCAGTTAAATCAAATTTAGCTGAACATTGTAATAAAGGCCCTTACTATTATTGTGTTTTATATAATTTTGTAACATACTGTTAGCAATGGTTGACTTGGGGGGAAAGGGGGGACTGAGCACCTCAACTAATTTTTTGGATACCCTAGTACCCCTACTTCTTTTTTAGAGGGAAATGCATGGGACGGATTGTAATGTAAACTTAACTTACCTATTGTAACTAACCTTATTATAATTAAAATTAAATACAAAATTGTATTTGAAAATGTGAATTGTAATTTTATTGTATTAATATTTGATATCTAATTCTAATATGAAGTGAACCTTAAGTTACACGGTTACACCTAATAAATTATGATTTATATGTTATGATTCATTGATACATGTTTCTTAATAATTTATTATGCTTCTTAAAAGCGACCATAAAGAGTGGTGTGGGGCGACCCCCCCTCCACCATGGATATGTAAGTTTTATTAAAATTCTAGGGACACTACATTTTAAAAGTCTAGAGTACCTCTACTACTTTATTTCCAAGTCAACCACTGATTGTTAGTCATTAATCATTATTCTGGCATTATTCATTTAACTCAAGGTTGGATTTTGTATTTCATTGTAATATATAATCCAAGTCTTCATAACCATACCTACCTTAATATTGATTTCATCTACCATAATCCTATTCTACATTCCTTCTTACTACAGTTAAAATAGTTATCATGATTAGAGTACTATTCAAGAATAAAATTTTATTTAAAAATGAAAATAATTGTAGGATTTAATCACTATTAGATTATTTGTAATATCCATTGTGGTTGGTTAGGTACCTAAGTTAACTTAAGGCATAAAAAAAATGATGTTTTAATAATTTAGAATATAACATAATTAATTAATAAATTAGTACAAACAATATTTAATACCTTTTTAGATATATGAGTTCATAATTAAGTGGTAAAAAAATTATATTATAGATATGCATAGTATAGGTAATGTTAAAGATAGTATTGAAATAAAAACACTAGTTATTATTGTTATTAAAAAATTAAGTATTAAACATAAATTAATATTAATGAAATGTTATAAACAAAGAATATATTATGATAGTTTCTAATAATTTAATTTGACTATATTATTTTTATTATATCTATAAGAAATGTCGATATATTATGGACTGTTACGGATATTAATGATTTAACTTATAGACTAGGGTTTTTTTGGCATGAAAATAACTAAACATAAAAAATTATAATGTATGTATACTATAATTATGTTATTATCAAACATTCCAATAAAATTTAACATTACATAATATAGCCATTGTGAAGTTACCAAATGTAAAATTTTTTACAAGAAAGTTTTAAGGCACACAAATACTAAAAATGGCAAAGCATGCAAATTATACCATATATTTTCTATGAAGGTTAAAAGTGTTTAAGTTAAAGGGGGGGCTTATTTTCCTATAACAAACTCATTATTAAATAATAAATACATCATCTAAAACTATTTAGTACATGGATTTAATAATAAAAAAAAAAATACAATATGTGGATTAAATATAACTGAAAAAAATTATTAATTGATAAATTTAAAAAAAATGCTTTAATAAAAATACAAAATAAAACAGCAAAACATTTTTCAAAATCAAAAAAATTCTAAAATCATTTCATATTTAGTGATGACTGTATTGATAAAAGTCGTAACAAGTGAAAAAAAAATCAAAATTGTATTAAAGTATCAGGAGGTAAGCTTAATAGGCACATTTTTATATTAAAACAATGATAAGTTATTGAATTCTGAATATATTTTGAGTGGAGCATGTTTTATTTGACCAACCGCTATCATTTATCCATACTTAGTTTGAATAAATAACTCTTTCATTTCATTATGGAATTTTTCCGTTCAAATGTTTCTAAAAAAATTTCATTAAAATAAATAATACTTAATACTTAATATATTATTTTAAAATAACAATAAATTATAATACTTTTAATTTGTCCAACTTGTCCAAGAGGTTCAAATGTTGGCATAACTGGCAATGGATAATTTACTGCTAGAATCCGATCTATATTCATTACTTGTTTATCCAATTCTTCTAATTCAAGATTTTCTAATTCTTTTCGTGATTCCTCCTAAACAAATAATATTTTATTTTATCATGGTTACCAAGGAGTACATTTTCAAATACTTTATATTTAATCTCTATTATACTCATAATAACTAAATAGAGTTAATGTTGCATATCGTATTCAATTACAATAAACAATAATAACACAATATGCATTTGCAAATTACCACGATATACTACTAGGAAAAAAATTACTTTACAGGATCATCAATACTCACATTAATAAAAATAATCTCACTTTTAATATCATACCATGATGTATAAATGTATATTACAAGTAGAGATGTTACGAACCATAATATTTAAGGTCAAACCGGAACTATTAGATATTTGGTTCGGTTCGATTATTTGGAATTTCCAGTTCGGTTTTCAAACCGAACCGAACTGTACTCTGGGTGTTCGGTTCGGTTTGAAGATCGAACAGTTCGTAACATCTCTAATTACAAGACATCATCTAAAACAAATTACCGACCATGCATAGAAACTATAGAAACTATAATTTGCAACACAATCTACATACTCATAAATAGGTCTAAAAATATATAATTCATTGCACATTAACAATAATAACTCTTTCGAGGTTTATTAAAACAAAATTACTTGGCTACATCAAAAATCAATTATAGATTATTATGTATAACAATTTACAATCATATCTGTGACTATAATTAATGAAATAAAGGTTATAATATAATAACTATTAATAATTTTAGTGCTACAAGCATATTATTATACCACCTATCTAACTAGTTTAATAAATGTATAGATGTTGATATAACTTTATTAAAAATGTAAGTTGGATGGTATTCCACAAATATTTTATATGAGTTTCTGAAGTTAAAAATTTGATGAATTCACAAGAAAATAACGATTTCTCATTAAATAACTTTAGAATTTTTGTTGTAATTCAAAAAGAATAAATTGTAGAAACTTGAAACATTCTACTGTTATTTATATTTGTTAAATATATTTTAGTGTTGATGAATATTTTTTAAGCTTGGTCGATAAACTTGAAAGTGTAATACAAGTTTCCTTATAAATAATTCATACTGTAAATCAACAAAATCTGAAGAAATATATGTATATTTAAATTTTTTTTGTTATAAATTTGAAGTTCAAAAAATTTCAACATTCAAAAGAAGAACAGAGAATAACAATTTAGTTATTCAGTTGTAATTTAAAAATATTATTCATGATATCTTCAAACCTTTACTTATTATATAAAACAACATTTTCAAAATATTTAGATTCCTTCCCTAAGGGTCACTCCTTCTGAAATACATTAACTATAAATTATTCAAATTGGAGAATCACTCTGCAGTAAGGTAGATTTAGAGTCATAGTGTAGGTCATTCTATAATCAATGATTCACCTGTAATGAATAAGTAGAAATCAATTGGCTTTTTTTTTTAAGTCATCTTATTAAACCTCCTGTTTTAACTAATGTTAAAATTCCATTTGATTCTCTAAAAATGTATTATCAGACTTTAAATGATACCGAAAAAGTTCAGCAAACCCTAACTTAACATGATTTTTTGTAAATGGTTATCAGCTTATTGATCTTATATTAAAAAAATATTTTGTACTACTTATATGACATTTTTCCCAGGACATAAAAACATAAGCAATTTAAAAACTGGATTAGAAATATTTAATTCAAAAAATGTTTATGGTACTGTTAAATAACATGACCAATAAAAAACACATGGTTAAGCAGTTTCTACTTTACTTAAAGCTAACTTAAACAAAAATATAAAGAGTTGTATTAATATCAATTTAAGGGAAATTCATTCTGTTTGATATGACAGGTAGTGTAGTTGGTGTAGGGGTTATACCTCACCGACATATATTTTGGGAGCTGGAGAGGAGAGATTTGCCCTGACTAATAATAAATAAAACAGTCCAATGAAACTTTTGTCTATATTTAGCCGCTTTTAATGAATACTGAAAATATATTCCTAGTTATTTTTATTTACATAGGAGTTAGGACCATAAAATGTCTTGTCTTAGCATTTGAGAGGAACTAGTAAATATGTTGAATTATGGAATTTTAGTGAGGTATGTATTTGTGCCAATATGATTAACATGCAAGATGGTAATTATTTTGTAAAAAAATATATTATGTACATGAAAATTTGGTTGCGTGCGAAGCATGCTTTTTTTCTGGGCTAATTATAACATTTGATTGTTTTTTTGTTGACTGGTCCTTTTCAACCCAGTTTGAACTGATTATATCACACATTATTATTATTCGTTATAAACTTAGCCAGTCTTGATGTATTATGGAACTATGTGAATTATTTCCTAGTATAAAATATAAAAGCTGATAGTTAATCTAAATATTTTGAAAATGTAATTGTGTATTGAAAATATTTTAAATATAACTCCCAAGTCCCCTCTATTAATAATTTTTTGAATTAATAAGTATAACAACAAAAACTATAGGAGGAGAAATGATTTTTTTATAAATTATATCTGATATTATCGTAATTTAAACTTCTGAAGAAAATTATCCATATTTTATACAGTATTCTGTTATAATTTTATAAATAATAATTTATATTTGATTTCACAAAGTGAACCATATTATATTATTATGTTTCAAATTGTAATTGTATAATTGTTAGTTGTATATTATATATTATATATTATACTACAAGTACTATACATATATATTTATATATATATAAGCAAATTAGATACTTATATATTATGTACTTCCATAGTTACATATATATAATTACATATGCCAGTTACATACAAATGTAAAATTTTACACCAAAGCAGAGTGTACCTACATTTAGCATTCAACCCTTACCCAATGTACAACTAATATATTTTACTAACAACATCACATACACTTACCACTAACATACCCACCCATTCAAAAAAATTGAATAGTTGTCCCCATGATACTTAGATTTAATGCCATTGACTTTATAATATTGTATCTAAAGTTTTAACAGTCAGTATCGCCCACATATTGGTAATGTATACAAATAAACATAGTATTATATCAACCTATTTTAATGCAATTAAATAAAATTAGCTATACACTATGAAAATGTGTCAGTACCTATATAAATTAAGCACMTGATCAAAATATATTACTTGTTTATCCAATTCTTCAAATTCAAGATTTTTTAATTCCTTTTGTAACTCTTCCTATATAAATAATAATTAAATAAATTTATTAAACAGACAGCAATTGAATCATCTATTTATACTTCAATATTACCCTCTGTTTCTTATTCAACCAAATTTATAAACATTTTGAGATAGATGTTTTTATTTACACAATATCTCAATATGTGAATATATGAAAAAAAAACTTAAATTAAGCACAACCATGTGTTAACAAAATTAAAACAACATTTTTGGTTTAATTTAATTTTTATACTTTTAAATACTATAAAAGATAAATTAATTTAAGATTTTTTTTTTAATGTAAAAATTCTAAATAATAAGTATACTAAATATTCAAACAATAAAATGTCATAAACGTAACTGTTAAATTAACAAAAGACTGAGAAATCATATATTACCTTAAATTGTTTAAATTATATTATTATTTATTTTTAGAAAAAATCTAATTAATTTCGTGTTATACACTGTATATCCAAAATTATGATTTGATATAATTTTAGATATTGCACCTGTGTGTACCTATTGTTTCTTTAAACAACAGCAAATTTTTGTTCACTAGTTTTAATAGTGAGCGGTTAGTTTTGATATTTGAGTGAATCAACCTATTATAAAATTTAGATCTGGGTACCCATGTTGGATTTTATTAATATCATAATTTTAAAATTTAGTTTCAAAAATATTTTAACCATAGATATATTAAACAACTAAATAGCCGACTTTGTATACCATGCTATACAAATATATTATAAACCTGTGAAACTGGCCACCATATGTCAACAAGGGAATGTTTACATTTGAAATGTTATGATAAAAATGACATCAAATTTAGTATTCTCACCATTTCCACTTCTGATTTTTGTGATTTTTTATTTAAGTGTAATAAAAATTTTAATTTTTTAGTTTTTAAATCATTTGTATTGTTTTCATTTAATTTATAATATGCCAAATATAATATAATTATATTAATATAAGACTATGGTAGTGTCATGCTCTGCACATGGATGTGTGAACATAAGACAAAAAAAAATAAAAAAGATCATTTTTTAAGTAAGTACCTACGTCCGCTTTATAAGTACTTGTGTGAAAAAATCATAACCCGACAGTTTTATATTAAAACAAATAGTTTATATTTTTAGTTTTCCTTTGAAGGATAATATCTAAAACTTAGAATAGACAAGTTTGCCAAAAAGGATTCATTCCTACAAAATTTAGTGTTCTCTGCAGTGAACATTTTTTACCATCAGACTTTAAAATTAACTCAGGGGGAAATTACCGGTTATATTTAAAAGATTCAGCAGTTCCATCTATTTCTCCTGGCCCAACATTTGAAGAAAAAATTCCAACACATTATAAACTTGAAATAGTTGAAACACATTTAAAAGTAAATGAAGATCTACTATTAGATATGAAAACTGTTATAAAAATGAATTTAACATCTCCAGTCAAAACGATTCCCTTACAAATATTGATACAATAATAGTGTTGTCTACTTCAGTGGCGTGATGAAGGACTATATTTGAGGCACATGCCTCAGTTTGAGGGGTGGTGGGTGTCCTCAAAGATCATCTAATGTGTTAAAAAAAGCATTATTATTTAAATGAATAAATATATTTTATCTTAAAAAAATGGTTTAATGTTTTTTGTGATGGGTGGAGTGGGTGGTTGGTCTGACAATATAACTATGCCTCATAACTTAATGAAGTTCACCACGCCACTGGGCTACTTCATTAAAAAAAACAATTATTAGTTCATTGTGTTGTCTAATCAAAAACTGTGAACGTAATACACAAAATACACCAAGAAAAATATAGCTAAGAAAAAAAATTAAATTATTAAAACAAAGCCTCGCAAGAAAAAAAAATAAAAACCTTGATGATCTATTGAAAAATCTACGATCAATGGAATTACTTGATGACCAATGTGGAAGTTTATTAAGTAATAAGTTAAATGGTATGACAAAAATTGTATTTCTTAATGAATTTAGAAATAAAGTTAGAAAATCTGTTGGCTGTCGCTATACCAATTAAAATAAGGAATTTTTTATAACTATTATTATCCTAAAACATATAACAGCTTTAATAGCTTTATAGTTTATTAGTAATATGGTTAGGTGTATTAGATATGAAATTATAATTTATATATACAATATATAGGACTTTTATGAACCTACCTAGTTGTAAATCTATTTGTGGTTGGATATTAAGTATAAATGGAAAACCAAGTTTTTAAAGAAGTATTTACTGCTCTTAAAAATTTAAATCCTGATGATAAACATTGTAGTCTTATGTTTTATTCCATGTCCATAAAAAATAAATATTATCGAATGAAAAATTACAGAAATTTGTGGGACAATGTGATTGTCAAAACAAAATAGATATTGGAAGTATTTATACTTCAGCCTCAGAAGTGTTGAAATGTATTAGTAGTTATTTTCTATAAAATAAAATCACAAAAGTATCTCAAGCTGAACTTACAAAATCAGCATTAACCCATGCTTATGATGCTGGTTTAAATGTTTGCAATTTTACATGTGATGGTGCTTATACTAGGGTGACTAATTATATTATAACTTAACTATATTTAAAATAATAAGATACAGGACAAAAATATAAAATAATATAATTAGTATTTATTATTATTATTTTTGATCTATAATCGGGTATATTTATTATATAGTAAATATTACACTTTTACGTTGCCAAAAACAATGAAATGCAACAATAATAAAATTATAGTAAAAACAAATATCCAAAATTACAATATATAGCTGAAAAGTAAAGACTTTTAAATTATTCTTTTTAATTATTTAGCACAAAAATATAGTAAAAAACGATTTTTTTATACATAATATATCAATATACAATACCAAAAATTATAAATAACAGTAATTAAAGCTAAGGAGGCATTAATATAGGACATACTTGAAATTAGGGGACAAAAAGCGTCCTGGAAGAAGTTTGTCAGAACAACAGGACACAAAGCTGAAATAAAGAATAATCCTATTTAAAACAGGACATATAGTCACCCTAGCTTATACTAATTTTTCTTGCTTAATGATATTAGGTTGTGAATTTGGCTTAAGTTATAATGACATAAAATGTTGATTTTAACACCCTAAGAAAAAAACAAAAATATTTTTCATTCCAGATACCTATCATATAATAAAACTTGCTTGTAATATACTAGCGAATAATTTTGTGTTAGAATCTGAAAAAGGCTTCATTCGATGGGACCATATAAAACAATTATTTAATGTTCAAAAAGAAGTAGTTTTAAAACTTGGTAATAAATTAAGTATGGCTTATATTGCTTGATTTAATAACAAGATGAAGATAAAATATGCAACGCAAACCCTTAACTCATTTACAGCTGATTTTTTGCGTACTTACTAAAAACGTATTTAATACATATTTTCTTAATTTTGAACATGTTGAAACCACAATAAAATATTCCCAAACAATAGACCGAAATTTTGTTTTTCTCGACTACAAAAGTAAATTTTTGAAAGGATTTTAGTCTCMTGTTTTCTCTAATAACATAATTAAACTTGGAGAAGTTATAAACTTATAGTGCCATTAATTAAATATATGTTTACTTAAAAATTCAATTTAAATGTTCAGTTTAAAAATTCCCTATTATATACTTCTAATAAAAAAAACTTTTATTTTAGGGTTTGCTATTGTAGTTAAGTCAGTTTTTCCTTATCCAAACAATTATTTTCACAAAATACAAATTTTAGTTATATACTTACATTACATATACATTTTCTCAGGACCACCTATAGTTACTTTTTGAACAGATTGGACGGCATTTCGCCTCAAATAATAATTCTAACGTTTTTTTCAATACAAACAGCAATCAAACAAATTTAAATGAAGAACTAAATTAAAAATTAGTCTAATTTTAATTGTTTTACTTTTGATTATGATCCAATTGGTTCCGCTTTGAATATAAGTGTAGTAAAATAAAAATAAATTGATTATGATAAGAAGTTTTTATAGATAAAATTAACGATATTGCTTTAAAAAAAGTGAAACTCCTTAATTATGTTAGTTCCAATTATTTATGTCAATTATAAGGTGTCAAACATAACATTCTATGTTGTATTGGTGGTTACATTGAGAAATATTAATTTAGATTGTTTCAGCTGTAGATACTAATTCCTAATAAAAAACCCCAATGAACATAGTCATTGCAAAAAAATTATTATTCTACATTTTTTATCTAAATATAGGGGTGGTCTTATTTCAGCTTCTAAATCAGTTTTTCTAATAATTTTAAATGCAGAAAAACTATTTTTACATCTTACAGACAACTTAAAATCTCTTCATGTTCCACAACTAGATGTAAAAATTAATAATTATTAAACATGCTTGTTATCAACATTTTTATATAAGAAAAAATATATTTCCAGAATTAAATTGTTACAATTTAACTCTTTTTGAATGACCATACAAATTAATATTAATCATTATAATAACAATAAAGTTCTTAAAAATAAGATTAAAATCATTTGGAAAAATGTTTTCTTCTGATATATTAAATCCAGTAAGCCAAAGACACAAGTTGACAAAACTTATTTTATTTTCAAATCAATGAAATTGTAATTGTTATTATAAAACATAGTAGATATAACTAAATTATCAATAACTTATTTTTACATTACTCTTTACTTTATTCTGTATATCTTTATTCTGTAAATAAAACATAATACTGAGATTTGTGTGTAAAAATAAATATGTTATTAATAAACCATGATAATATTATACTTTGTAATTTTAAATTTTAAGAAAATAACACCCAAAATTTACAAACATTAATTTAACAATTAATTATTTAATGAATTAACACTATTATCAACTAAAAAATTCTTATCATTATTAATGTTTTTTAAACATTGCACTTTTGGCATATGGCTACCTTTGCTTCATTCTTATTACTAAGTCTACTATCTAGTTACTTTATTTATCTGTGGTCTTGGCATACTTAAAAATAATAATACTGATAAAAACCAACATGGGGTCCAAACTTTTAATCTTAAATTTTATACCTAATAGGTCGATTTACTTTAATATCAAAACTATTAGCACACTATTAAAACTTTTAACAAAAATTCCCCATCTTGTTTGTAAGTAAGACAGAGACATCTTCTTAAAGCAATAGTATCTTACCTCATCATCTTCAATTTCCAATGTGGTTGAATTGCAAAAGGCTTCTGATATTTCTTGAGTTAGACAATGTGATTTTGCAATATCGTCAATCATATTTTGAATATCATCTATATTGCTGTAAAAATAAATAATGTCTTATTTTCTTTTTTTTACTTTTAGGCCAATTAAATGTTTATAACATGAAAAACAACCATTGAAATCATACTAAAAAAAAAAAACTGAGAGCTGATAAATAAATAAAATTAATAATTATAAAGATTTATTTAATTAATTTGATTATTAAAATAACATGTCTCCTATCAATAAGGTCTGTACACATGCTACAACTCCATTCCATGAGAGAAGTAAACAGTAAAGCGTGCCCTGACCAAAATGCAACCGATTTCGCTTATTTTCCACCTCTTTTCCATATTATTGATAACCTTTAGAGTCAGTCGTTAAATTTTGGCAATCCTTAGTGTAAATAGAACACCACCAACTGTCTTATTGTGGAAGATATGGTGCCACAGAACAGCTGCCATAATTTTTTTTCAGTCAAATCATTATTACTCACATTTATAACAATATTGGTAAAAAGTAATAACATATCTATTATTGATATAATAACTATGTAATTTGTGTTAGATTCAAACATTTAGAGCATAAGTAGCTGATCATTATTAATATTTTTATATAAGTTTATTACATAAGTATTTTAGATTCTTTTAAGAAATTACCTATTTATTAATTTAAACATATAAATAGTTAATATCATTCAGTATTGATTAAAACATAAATAAACCTAAATTTTAAATTCTTAAACTATTCAGCTACATATCAATTACAATGCTGATGATTAGGGTTAGGATGTTTATGACCTTACAAACACTAAAAAATGCATGCAAATATGCACAGTAAATATCAAAATATGCCCTTAAAAAAAATTAAACATGTCATTTTAAAATTTTATTTCTAATCTGAAATGTATTTTAAATTAATTTACAACTTTTTTTATAACTTTAAACTTAAATACAAATATATAAAAATATGATATTTTGAAATTAAAAATATAGGTAATTACAGTAAATTAATATTTAATTAAGTAAGTAATAAAGATAAGTTAATTATATACTACGGGTTTCATATTTTCTCATTTTCGTTAAATGTGAAACCGACTGTGCCTTATCTATGGGTTTTTATTGAGGTTTATATTGTATTTAAGGTATTTTTTGACAAAATATGTATTTATTTACTATTTTTGTGGCCAAATATGCATTTATTTACAATTTTTTTCAATATATGGATTTATTCATAAAAATCCCTAAATATGCAAAATAAAATTGAATGTATCTGATTCTATGTTGCACAAAACAAATTTATAACTTGGTCTGCGATGTGCACGACTAAAAGAAAAAATATGCAAAATTCATTAACATCCTAACCCTACTGATGATACTTACATATTTTGATTGGTCATTTTAACGGTGTTTAAAGTAGATTTCATTACATTGACTAATATTTTGTTTGTGTTAGCATTCTCTAAGGCCAGGCGTTGTTTTATGACTGTCAATAAAATTCCTTCAATCTGGGATGACTGTTTTTCGTAACAGTTTTTACGTTTCAATGCATTCAAGGCGACTTAAACAAAAAAACACAGTACATTAAAGAAATAATTATTAAGTATTTTTAATTTTAAGCACTCTATCCAATGTATACCTCGTTTATTACTGATGTTATTTTGTTTTATTATAGCCAACTCTTTTTTTATATTTGTATCCATTATTTCACGTCTAGCCATCAACAATTGTTCGGTGGATCGCAATTTATACAATACATCGACTTCATCCAATGGTCTAGTCGAAGATTCCTTTTCTTTTTTCTTTCTACCGAAAAACTTACGGAAGAAACTCATTTTACTGTCGGGCGCGACTAATTCCTGTAAATTGTAGCATTAGTATCAGTGTACTCTAATAGACGTGTGTATTTACTTACAAACAAATAGAATACACGCAAAAAGATTGGGCTTCAATGACTTTTATTCATTAATTTATAAAACATTCTGAAATTTGAACCATCAACAACGATTTCAAAAAACGTGTTTTAACTATTTTACATCAACAAAAATAACAATGGCGAGTCTTGTAGAGACTTCTAGAAAATGAGTCTTCTAGAGAGAATCCATCTAATTGAACGCCAAGGAGATAGTATAACATAATATCATAAGATAGCGTCGTGATAAAATAAGTAACTGTTGTACCAACCTTTGTTAAAAATGATGCCAACTGGGGGTGTATTGAGAAGATAAATTAACACTGCAGGGAGCGCTGCCGTACTAATGGTTACTATATGATCATCAAATTATATATATTTTTTTTTAATAAAGGGTAGTATATATTTATTAACTTATAAATAAGTTAGCATAATTGTAAATTAATTTTTATCCATCATCTGATGATGGGTAGTTGGTAATTGGGCCACATTTTATCTACCTGATTCGTATAAAATATCTATTTACATTTTACTACCCGAAGATCAGGACACAAATTAAATCTATATTAACTATATTTTTAAAGTGTACACGGAGATTGGACCATAAACGTACAGAAAAAAAATATATGAATGTACAACATTTATCAACTAATTATTATTTTTTGCCTAATATATAATATATATTTTTTTAAAACAATTACTTTTAAATAATACCATACGAAAATTTCATAAATTGAATTCAACATATAAGATTAATAAATTTAGCAAATAATTATTATTTTATAAATATTTTTTCTAATAAATACAAAAATACGATTTATTATATAATCTGATAATCTGTGTACAATTTTCTTTCTTAAATCTAGGTAATACTACAATTTTTTTTTCATAATAAGATACCGTTTTCACAAATTTAAATCTATTCATTTTCGCTTCTTCAAATTTTTTTATTTCATTAAAAATATAATGTTTTCGAATTAAAGCTGGTTTTCTGGCTTTTATTGTTCCTACGCTTCTAATTTCAATATGCAATTTATATAATATAAAAAATCGTTAAAAATAGTGATAAGTAGCCCAATTACCGGGTCACTTGTTAAAAATGTTAAACTATAATTAACGTATACATTTTTTTTTAAAGAGTTAATTATGGCCCAATTCCCGGATTCCTCACTAGATACGTTATACATGATACGCTGTCAGTTAGGCCATATATCATCATTTTCGCATCGTCTGCTCGCCTGTACCAAATTATCGTACATCAAATGCGCATCAATATTTTAAAACAATAGAAAGGTATAACACTATAACGAATTGTGTTAGGTACATGATGGTCATGATGTATAATATTATTTAGATGATAAATAATTTAAGATTTTTAAAATTAAAAAGTAATTTTTATACATAAACATTTTTTTGTTCAAATTTTGACAAAATTTATCAAAAACTCGAAAATTTAAGCTACAAAATTATGTTTTTACTTAGTATATTGCATATCACCTTATACGTATGCAATATTCGAAAATTTAACGGGCATGGACCAATTGCGCCTAAAACAAAATTTGTATTTTAGGGTCAATATACCAATTTCACTGCATATATTTTAGGGTCAGTGTACCAATTACGCTGCATACATTTTAGGGTCATTGTATCAATTGCGCCTCTTATATTTTACKGTTAGTATAACAATTGCGCCAGGGGCGGACTGGGAGGTAAACTACCCAGTATTCTACTGTCGGCCGGAGGGGCCGGCACTACCCGTTTATACCATCCTCTATGAATAAGATGTTTATAATACCTACATACTTTTTCGGGTATTTATTTATCAAATGTATTAGGCGATACTGCCATACTGGATTGTGCATAAACACCAAAAAGATAACTTGTTTGCACACTACGAAATTAATTTTTGATTCGAAAGCTTCACTAATTTCTAAATCCATGTTTAGTACCTACCTAATTATAGGCTAGAGTCATAACTAGAGACGAATTTTATGCATTTGCATGGTGATACTAAGTACATGCACTTATAAAATGGTTTGAAATGTCGGAGATTCAGACTTTATTGAATCCGTAGACCAATTTTAATTTTGCATATAAATGCATATTTGGTGGGTTGGTGCACTATAAACTTTGGGGTCCTTTTTTAACAAAAAATTTAAAAAAATAATAGGTACATATTTAACAATAATAAGTTCAATCCATTTATTTAATTATAATAGACATTTTACTAGTTATTACTTATTAAAAATATCTTTTATTTATGGTAGCAAAGTATGGAATGGGAAGGGGCCCTTTAAATTTGGGGGCCCTGTCCTAGAGCACCGCCTGCACATGCGTAAATCAGAGCCTGGATACAATGTACATTATATTATTATAAACTACATAGTTCGACCACAGAATAGATTTAATCTATTCTGTGGTTCGACTATGAAATATTAACTTATTAGTTAGTTATTACTGTATCGTTTTAATAGCCGGCAATTGATAGCAGTAGGTAGTCTTTAACCGTTTGGTATTTAAAATTTAAAAGTACATTTATTATTAATATACTAATATTATCAATTGATGTTCATGAGCCCCTAGCGGCCCGGCGGCCAATATATTGAGCCGGCCCGGTATGCTACGGCACACTAGCACACCTGGCCAGTCCGCCCCTGAATTGCGCTCTTTATATTTTATTTTATTTATTATATAGAGCATATTTAACAAAAAAATTAACAATCAATTCTTATATCGAGAAATACAAATCTGGCGAAATTAGCAGAAAAGAATTTTTAAAGATTGTGTGTTATTATTATTGTAAAAATGTTTAATTGTGAATTATAATATTATTATGTACCTATCAATACTCCCAAAAAATCATTTATGTGTTTATATATATTTTTATTATATTTATAATTACGATTTAATTTTGAATAATTGACGATCAAATACGTGACTGGTTATTATAGTGTACCTATTCATTTATATTTATATTATTTATATTTATAATTACAATTTAATTTTTAATAATTGACGATCAAACTTGTGACCGGTTAGTGTACCTATTAATTTATTTTTATTATATTTTTTTTTTGAATCAGCGTGTTATTATTATACCTCGTTATACTTATGATAGATTATAATATAATCTAAACAAATTATATTATTCTAAATTGTAATGCCATGCTCAAATTAATATTTAAAAAATTATTATTATTCTAAAGACATCCAAAATACAAACATCATGATTACCTTAAACTCAAAATCTTATTATGATTTAACCACCTATTATCTTGTTATTATTAATATTRTTTTATTTTAGTTTTCATTAATTAAACTGTATAATGGCTATAAGTTCCACCAACTTGGGATTAAGGTCAACATGCGACTTATGAGTTAAGTGCTCCTTGATTCATGGGTGGTAACTAGTGCAAAGGTAGTAAAATATTAGAAATCTCACAATGTATAATACTAATTAAGTACATTAATACTAGCAAAAAAATTAACTAAATAGACCATATATTTCCAAACTACAAAAATTCGAAAAAAACATACAAATCATATTACGCCGGTATCCAAGATTTTAAGGGACATTAAGGCCATCAAATAATAAATGTCAAAAATCATAAAATATTGTTAAGCTTTCTTAGAGTTTTCAAATAGTTACAATTATGTACCTTCCTAAAATATTGAATAGGCATCTATTATAATTTATAGGTAGGTACTTATCTACCTATTCGCGGCAGTAATGCGAAAGCAATCCCCGCGGCGTAGTTCAACCTGAAAAATAAAGGTTTCTACATACTTACCCTACATGTTCCTAAATATAGATACAAGACCCAAGTTCTAAAAAACTTCGACTTAACCTAACCATTTTTATAATCTAACAAATATATGGTATATGCTGGTGCAACACGATTGCGCACTTTTTACCTTTTTACCTGTAAAAAACAAAAACACGATTACTCACTAATATTATTTTATTTTATATTATTGGCTTAAATTATTAGGCAAGACCTCGTTCACCCCAAATATGACCCTTCCCTTTTCGCCCAAAAATATTATATAGCACTTTTCGACCAAATTTTTATAATACACACTTTGGGAAACACTTACTTTAAATTATTTATATCTAACATAATAATAAATTTATTATATTTAAATTATTAATTTGTGTTAATTAATTTCATAAAGCCATTTAGTATTAGCCAGAGAGTACGACGAGGAAGCGGCTTCTATTACTCTCCAAAAATATATTGTGTTTTTGTACAGTTTTTGTACATTAATATAATTTTTTTTATATAATATAAGAGTAAGTTTTTATCAAAAGTATAAATCGTCAAAATTTTAAATAATATAAATAATTATAATAATAGTTAAATGACATTGATTTAATAAAATCATACCGATTAATTGTTCCTGCTTTATATTTTTTCTTCATGTTTTCGATGTCGATCTATAATTTTTTTATCTTTGGGACACCTTTGTAAATGCACACTATTTAATTTAATGTAGACTTCAGTTTGAATTTCATTAATAACACTTAACCAGGCACTTATTGGTGGAGAAATATGATTAAAACTTTTGTTAAAAAAAGAATGAAAAGATTCACACGCGTTAGTTGTTCTTATTAATTCCGATGTACCTATTATATGCCCAAATATTCGGTGGAAATAAACTTCAGAGATGTAAGTATCGGTTAAATAGTCACAGTAATTTGTTAATTTGTCATTTACTGAACAGTCAGATAGTAGGTATTCAACAAAACAATTTGATACTTCATCCGGGTTTAAAAATACTAAACCAAATGTATACCGTATCCACTTACCAATTTCTGAAGATTCGTCTTTTATAGAAAGAAGTTAAACCACACTTTTGAATATTTCTCCACCATGATTGAGTTATATGAAATCGGCATCCAATTATTGTTGTATTCGGCCAGACATTTTCAATAGCTTTATGAATTGCTAATTCGAAATCAAAGGTATTGTTTTTTGGTGAAAATAAAAAACCAAGTGTATTACACTTTTTAACAATCATATTAAACACAAATTCAATTCAATTTTGACGATTTATACTTTTGATAAAAACTTACTCTT